ACTCATGAGGTAGAGTCATGGCCTAATGGTTCAGAAACCACTCTGGGTATTAAGACATTTCAGTTGGTTAGTTTTAGGAAATATTTTTTGCCTTACTAAAGAATAAACTTGTATTTCTTCACTGAAAAATTCCCAAGGTATTGGTATTTCAACAGCAGGAAATTCTTTTTTCAACTTGCACTTACCACGTAAGAGGCATCAAATTGCTCATGAATTAGTAGGCTAAGAGCTATTGTCACTTCCTGGTGGGCCACTTTCACAGAGCAAAGGAAGGCAGGGACTATTGTTCATTTTGTTTCTTGGGATTCAGTTCTGAAGGTCTGAACTATGCACTGAATCAATGGAGACCAATGTTGAGTCTAGCAGATAGTAAGCTGTTGTAGAACAAGGCTGTGGCCTCAAGTGGATGGTGGTCGTGCAGAGTGCACCAGGCTGAACATAGCCTTAGCCACACTTCCCTCTCACATGCTCTGACTCAGGAAATGCTGCTTCATGGGTTGTAGCTACTTGTCAGGCTCGTGACTCAATAAACTGAAATGTTTGCCAAGTGAGTGTTGATTTCACAACTCAGACTACTCACTCATGGCACATACGATGCTGGACATAATCACCAGCAGGTCAACTCTGCTGTTGTTTGGCAGTGAAGAGGAGCAGAGATGGAGCAAGAGGAGAAACAGTCTGACCCTGGTGATAGAGGGCAACAGGATGCCAAAAGACACAGGTCATGCTGTTTTCCTTCTCTGGAAAGTCAGGTCCATGACCAGTTAATGCAAATGCAACATGGAAAATTATTCTTGAAGTCTACTTCTCAGTGCCAGGCATTTCCTGGTTTTTGTTGTGACAAACATATGGTGGTGTTAACTTGTTTTGTAGCCTAGCTCCTAAACTTCATGTAAACTTCATGTGCCAATAAGGATTCAATCCACGCAAAAGCTAGGGTCTGAGATGTGAGGCTGGAAGTGAGGCCCTAGGGCAGGATGAGAATACCAGACAGTGTCTATCACTGATGCTCTATTGTCTCTTGCATTCTCCATCTCCAGTGTTCAGCTTTCACTGAAGGATCATTTAATTCTAGGAACAAAGTGCCTGTTACTTGAGGGCTGGTGCTATTCTCTTTTCTTTAGTTAAACTCCCATTAGGAAAAAAAAATAACTTGCTTTTCAACCAATGAAAACACCGATTTCCTAAAGTGAGAAGGCACTGGCCATTAGTACTTCAGAATATCACTAAAACAAAACATCTAGAAAGAAGTATTTTTCAAGAGGACAAGTAGTGTCCTATGACCCTACAGGAGCCCTTAGCTGGCCAACAGATGTTTTATATCCTGTTGCTGTGCTGTATGGACACATGCTGCTCCCACTCTGTGCACTGTTCTTTGCTGGGCAGTCCCGTTTTCCCAGTTAGTGTTCAGCTGTACCATTGTTTTCTCCACCCAGGATATTTCTTGGCAGACAGTTATTGTCCAAAGATTGTTTTCACTGGACTTGTTGATGAAAGTAGTTCTTTTGATATAAGTCATGGTGTGAGAAATGCAGGCAAAAGATCTAGAATTTACTCCCTCATGAACTAGCCATTTCTTTCTGAATGACTGGGATGGGTGTAGCATTCACTATCCAAATGGAATTTTTCAGTGACTGGTGACTGCCTCCTGCTTTCACGGCATCCATCTCATTCTTATTGATTGCAGAGTCCTACTCCATGGCCAAAGTCTGCATGCTGTGACACACACACACACACACACACACACACACACACACAC